CCGGCTGTTCGGCGGACCGGGTCACGACCCTATCATGGCCTATCTCCCCAGCCCGGATGGCATCATGTCGGCGGCGTTCATGTTGCTAACATCTCGCTGGGGGTGGGGCGAATCACAGCGTCGCCGGAAGCACGGAAATCCAGAGAGCTTGGCAAGAATGGCTGCGAGGTGTACGGGCACGAATCATGACTTGCTTGCAAACCTGCTCAATGACCGAATCGCGGCTCGTGACAATGTCCCGTCCTATGAGCTTCAAGCAAGCTCTCGACCAGAGAGGAGCCTGGTAGGGATGATTGCATGATCTGCAGTTTGCGCATCCGCATAGCCACTTCACAAAATCGAGCATGCACTTCGTGCAGGTTTCGAGGCGTTCTCTCAGGCTTGACAGCTCGAGCTTCTTGAATTTTCTCACTCAACGGACTGCGCTGTAGCTTTCTTTAAGAATGAAGCAAGGCGCCTAGTGCTGAGTTGCCACCTGCGGCTTCTGAGACCTTGGGTCGCCAGAAGTTGGGATATCGTTAAGTTGCTCTCCTCGGAAATCCTTAACACTGAGATGGATGCCACAGGAACCAGAATCGACTCTCCAGCACCAGCCAGCGGTGAAGGAACATCGGCCTTCGACGAGTACTTCTCTAGCTGTATGCAGCAGATCGTAGATCCATGTACCGTCAAGTTCCTTCGGCTGCTTCGGATCCCCTAGCTGACTTCCGACAGCATGGCCTTCCTTGCAGAACTCGCAGCAGGTCCTTGACTTCAGGAAAGCTATGTTACCCGCTTCCTTTTCAGAGCTACTCTACCACTGTACCACTGTGGAGCGAGCCCGAAATCGGAAGCACCTGAGGGGCAGGTGTGCAAGTCTTGCATTCTCTGCATAGCTTCGATTCTCAGCTTTCGGCCTCCCAGCCCCAGGCCTCGCCAGACATCACAGTCCAAAGTCAGAGTTCGCATGTTTCTGTAGCCACGTGCCTCCGTTCTGTTTTCCCTCTCCTTGTCATCTCCGTTCACAGCACCTTCGTCAAGCCTCAGCGTAGTCTAGGCTCCAAAGGGTTCGGGCCTTCGTCGATGAGAGCATGGTGGGCAATTGGACACCTATAGATCCGAGAGCCTGGCATTTTGTCAACCTTTCGTGGGAGCCGGGGAACAGGTGCCAAGTCATCGAAGAGATCTAGCCTTGGCGAGACAAGCACGAAGCTGCGCAAGGTTTTCAATAAGTTACGCCTGGCCCTTGACAACTACAACCAGCACACGAAAATGATCCGAGACCCCAACAGCTTTTGCTGCGCTTCACCATCGATTCCCTGTGAATAACGGACACTAACGCAAGAAAGGGCAAACCACAGCACACTCCTGCTTCAGGAGCTGCTCGCCGACCGCGGGCTTCAAAAGGCGATCTGCCTAATGCTGCTGGGGAGTGGGCAATGCATTCATCGCATCCAATGAGATGAGTATCTGAGCAGGGCCTGTGCCAGATCCTCCCGTGCAGAGGACAGGATGTCAAGGAGCCTTCGGTAGTTTGTGCGATCTTGATCGCTCGTTCAGACTTTGAGCCTCTGAGCCTTGGGCCCGATGAGCGCATTGCGGAAGGCCTGGTTTCCCATTCCAGGGCTAGAGCTCAACCTGCGTAGCCTGGGAACCAGATGCATGATTCGACACTTTCGTACGGACACTCGACAAAGGCACATCAAAGGCATTAAACGACAAAAACTTAGGCAGCTGCAGCTCTTGACCCCTCTTCAGTCGAGCCAGTCGTGTTTCCCTCATCGCCTGTGGTCCCTGGCGGCGCTGCGCTGCTGATGCGAAACCCTGGCATTCTCTAAGCTGTACTCAGGCCACTCAAGCCACAAGCCTTGACAGTGCCTGCAAATTAATGCAACACGCTAACATGCCGAAGAGGCCGAGTTATTTGTAGGGGGTTCGGCATCACCTGAATCAACATGATGGTACAACGCAAACAGGACTGTTGGCACAGGAGCCATGCAAGTTCTCGGAGTGAAGCCGGATGCCCTTCTTTCAAAGGCCATGTAGTCCAAAAAAATGGCCGGATCGTCGACCTGAATGTCCTGTCAAAAAAGCTCACCTCCTCATCTTCTTTTCCATATTGGCGAGAACTAGTTAACTAGTTGCACCTTCAGCACTGCAAAGGATGCCCAAAGAGACAGGAACGATAGCCGTCTCTGGTACCTGGCAATCGTCCGAGTCCGGCTCTGATACCCCACGGCCAAATGGCTCCAAAATAGCGCACTCCAGGTTTCGGTGTCCAGACAAACACATTGCTGAGGATATCTAAGCGGAATGGGGCCAATGAAACATCAGAGGGTTGTCTGAGTCTACGCTGCATGCTGTCTGGGGCCACCACGACCAGAAGGACCTCAAATCTAGAGCCCGTGGTTGCGTTCACTTGCTGCGCACATGCGGTAAAGACACCGCTGTCCAGCCCCAACTGTCTTCACTCCGGAAGGCACTCTGGTCCACCTGCATCCGGATGCAAGCAGTCTCCAAAACGGACATAGGTTTTTCTTGATGATCCTGAACAATTGAACAGGCCTCAATGTTGGATTGCAGAACAATGGAGCCTCAATCAGGAAGACGCTTAAATACGAGCAACATCGGGTACAAATCCTAGCTCTGTGTCCGCTTGGGCTCCAACTGATCACGTAGGCCAAAATGCAGGACAAGCACATAGGTAGCGCATGCGCAAAGGACAGATTCGTCCTCGGCATTGCAAGTACAAACTGCTTGCATTGCAGACACAACTGCGATTCAGGAAGAAAGCACATCTGGCAGGCGGACCATGCACACAGAAGCAAGAATGCATGACGTAATCTGCCGGAAAAAAGCTTCTTGAAGTCTTTGCAAACCCTGTCAAGCTCCTACGCCCGTGTTAACGAGCCATCGCCCAGAAACCCTTCGGCGCTTGCCGCAAAGGCGTTTCTCCAATGTGTGGCTCGGACTGTGAAAGCGTATAGCACGGAACAGATGTGGATAACTGCTACGAATGACGGCAAGATTTCAAGACTGGCAATACTAGAGCCATATCGCCTTGACTGTCTCCTGCAGCCGGGACAGACAAGGTCGGAAAAAATTCGAAAGCACTAGAACGAATTCTGAAAACCATCAGTTGAAGAAGCACTACACAAACTAAAAATCCTTGCAAAACTTGGGAAAACAACGCTGACGATGCAAAGAATTGAGTTACAGCTCGGGTATAGATTTACCTACGAAAAGAAGGTATACATATACGTATACATACATATATATATATATGCACTTACATATACATACATCGACATACATACACATACATATGCATATTAATGTACAAAACGAAACATGGTGTTCAAGCCGTATATGCAAACATATGTATACCTATTTACATGCATGCAAACATTTAGAAACACCTAGATGCCTGAATACGTAGACTCGTAGGTTCATAGGTACATAGATACACATACAGACATATACACATATGCACATGCACACTTCTATACCTATACCCATATACACAAATACATACATGCATATGTACGTAGATACCGAGATCCCTACATAATCCTACATACATAGGTTCATAGGTACACTGAAACATAGATACACATATACATGTATACATCTACGCATAATGTATACATATATATACGTATATACATATATACATCCATACATCCATACATTTGTACATACATCAATACATACATACATACATACATACATACATACATACATACATACATACATACACACATACATAAACACCTGTATAATATACATATATACATACATGCATGTACACATACAAACATACAGGGATATAAACTTATGTGCACGTATGCTGCATAGACACATACATAGTGTACGTCCGTACATAATCTACATATAGAGCGAGAGAGAGAATGTGCGCAGACGTACATGTGTACAGGTATATATATATATATCTACAAACATGCCTACACAGGTATATGCATGTATATACAGGTATATACAAGCGTATGTGTATATATATATATGCGTACACATGTATACATATATACATATACATGTTTACACATATACACAAAAGGCAAACAAATACACGTGCACACATAGACATAGTTACACACATAAACACATACATACATACATACATACATACATACATACATACATACATACATAAATACACATATTTAAATATATATATATATATATACACAGAGCTGCACATAAATGCTTGTACACTTATGCACACAGAAAGTACACCTACATACACATATCTACACGTATCTACGCTTATATATACATGTGTGCGCATCAATACACAAATATACACATCTGTACACATATACATACATACATACATACATACATACATACATACATACATACATACATGTTTTATCTATATGTTTATTTATACGTATACATAGTTACACAAAGTTGCATATATGTGCAAAAGCTCTATATATGCATACATACATACATACATACATACATACATACATACATGAATACATACGTACGTACATACATACATGTATATA